GTGCGGCGGGGAGGCGCTCCCCCGCCAGAGCAGGCCATTCCCTCCCCGTCCCAGCTGACGGCAAGAGGTGCTTCAGAAAATGTGCTGTTACTGGGGAATACAAACGAAGAAACAGGCGCTCAACAGAAACGAGGAGCCAGGTTTGCAAAGGTTCCTCTTCACCTTAAAACCTTTTTCCTAAGTAGGAGGTGAGGATGTGATAATCATTTTGTTCAGCTCTGCCACATCAGCAGAAAGACCGGTGTTGAGGGACACAGGAAAAAAAATGTAAAGCTACTCGAGGGACTCCTGTTTGAAGTATTTGTTTTTAAGATAAAGTGGTACAGAGCTGCCAGTAAGGGGAGAGGAAAAGACAAACTGTGAGCTTTGGTTTGTCAATAGGGACTCCAATGAGACTGGACAAATAATGTTTATGAGAGTACCTCACTAATGAGGTGAGAGGCTGAAAGTGTAAAATAGTAATCTGAAGTTTTAAAGCAGAAAGAGCACGCAAACAGGGCTCTGGAGAACTACAGACTATCCACCAGGCTAAGCAGTGTCCGTTGCCTGAGATAGGTTGAGCTAAAATGAAACAAGCCTTTGAGTTTCTACTGATCCTGTGCTGTCCAAAACTCCAGTGGACCAAACGTACCCCAAGACAAAACGGACCTCTTCTGTGTTTGATTTCTCCTCTGTGGCGTGTACACAGAGTATTGCATCTGTTACCTTTTTCAAGTGTTTCTGAAAGCACAGTTCAGGATTAGTGTACATATCAACAAACTGAAATAAGCCAACCTACTCCACTGTTGTTTACTATGAAAAGCGAAGAACCGTTCAGAACTGTGTGTAGCATAGCAGTAAGTTCCTTTGGTGGCGATGACTGCATTATGAGAACAGAATCAAATCCATAGCAGTTTATCATTATGGTAGTGAGATGGCTACAGATGTGGATTTCCACATTTATATTCACATATATACATCTCAATATGTTTATATTGAGATAAGCAATTCTTTCTACTTAAAGGCTATTATGATAAATATTTGTGCATGATTTTTTAAGCAGCTTAAAAGTAAACACATTTATAATTTAAGCATGTTAACAAATTAACGGGATTGATTGCATACTCAGCATTTTAAAGCCACTTAGGTGTTTAAGTTTAAACTTAGGAAGTCTAAATTAAGGCTTCTGTTTCTTAAGATCTTAAACTCTTTTTTACTTTTTTTTTTAAACTTAATAACTGCATTTAACAGATCTGATGATTCTACAAAATCTCAAGAAACAGATCACGTCTTTGTGATGTGTGGTTTGTGATCTGTAGTCTGTCATCTGGAAAAACGTTATATTAAAGTAACAAGCACTACAGTAAATAACAGCTTGTTTTTGGTACATAGAGAAATGGACAAGTTCACAGACGTGGAAGAAGTCTAGATTTTTATCAAGTTCTCTTACAAGCTTTGTCTACTAATGTTGAAGTATATATTACTCCATATAGGTTTCATGCTTACAGTTTGATTTCTTAAAAAATACTGAAAAGAATTAATTAGCAGCCGAGAAACAGCTTAACAGCGACCATGTCTCTGGAGACAGAAGAAGATGAAATCTCAAGCGGTCTAAATACAAAAGGACTAAATGAAAGCTTTCACGAGTTTCCTGAAAATGATTCCAGGAAAGACTCATTACATTCATCAGAGAATCCTAAAGTAGTTGACAGTACAGAAAGTCAGCATGTAATTTCATATGAAGCGCCTAAAGCAGATGACAATGAGCAAAGCCATAAAATGACTGAAAATGTATCTAAAAGTGACTTGCCTGAAAAAAGACATGAATATGAATTCTCAGCCGAGATAAATGCTGCCACCGTGCCTCCAGGTGTCTCTGAAGCAGATGTGAGAAAATACAAACTACTTCCATCAGCTGAAAAGAATACTGGAGAACTATACCAAACTTTGTCAGAAGCTGTTGATGAAGATGCCAAAACAGACACGTTACCATCGGGAGGGAATCCTGAAAATGCTGAAGGTGAATCAACATATACATTACCTGAAGAAAAGGATGAGAATTTCACCCTTACGCTAAACGATAAAGGATTAAGGGACGTTTCTCTGCTCATTTTTCAAAATCAACATTTAAAATATTTGCATTTATGCAACAATGAAATAAAAGCATTGCATTCAAATATAGGTAATCTAATTAATCTGGAAGTCCTGTTAGTTGAAAGAAATAGGTTGACATCACTGCCACCAGAAATTTCCTTACTTCATAAGCTAACAGTATTAAATGTCAGCCACAACCTGTTATCATATCTCCCTAAAGAATTACCAAAACTTGTAAATATTAAGGAACTCTTTCTCAGTCACAACAACATTGATGAATTTCCTTTTGCACTGAAAAACCTTGAAACTTTAGAACTTGCAGGGAACAAGCTAAAAACTTTGCCAGATACCATAGCTGACATGAAAAATTTGAAGGTACTCAACATTGATTCCAATCAGATCTTAATATTCCCAAAGGTTGTCTGCTACCTTCCTAATCTAGTAAAACTCAGCATATGTGAGAATTTGATTCAGAGCTTGCCAAAGGACATTAAAGAGCTCAAGAAACTACGGGAATTTTCAATCAGTAGCAATAAGCTTATATTTTTGCCTGTGCAGCTTTTTCAGTTGACAAAACTAGAAGAACTCAGAGTTGATGATAACAAACTGGAGTTTCTTTCAGATAAAGTTGAGAATTTACAAGAACTGAGGTTTCTGAACCTTGCAAAAAATTTATTCAGAAACATTCCAGAGAATCTTTGCAACTGTACCATGCTGAAATATCTCATTCTACATGATAATCAGTTAACCCAGCTTCCTGCTAATATTCACAAACTTAAGCACTTAAAGGAGTTTTCCTTAAGTAGGAACCAGCTGGCCTCACTGGACGAACAAATGTCACATTTTAAAGACCTCTCCGTAGTAGAGCTTTCTGGAAATGCACTGACATACATTCCTGTTGAATTAAAAAATTGTATGTGGATAACCAAAGTTGATCTCAGCAATAATAAGCTCTCTCAATTTCCACATGCATTGTGTGCACTATTTGATCTTAAGTGCTTAAATCTTAGTGGAAACTGCATTTCAGAAATAATACCTGGAATTTCTTACATTAAAAATTTGGAGCATCTATGTTTAAGCAAAAATAAACTGTCCTCTTTTTCTGCATGCTTGTGTAGCCTTACAAAATTAATTTACTTGGATGTAAGTGAGAATGAAATCAATAGCATGCCAGCAATGGTATCTGAGATGAAGGCTCTCCAGGTACTTCTTTTACACTGCAATAAATTGGACTTATTTCCCGAAGAACTGTGTTCTTTAAAGAGTTTACAAACACTCAGCCTTTCAGATAATCAGATAAAGAGCATTCCTTTACAGATTAGCAGTCTGGAAGTGATTAAAGAACTGAATGTATCCAACAACCAGTTTCTATCTTTCCCTTCTGAAATATGTCATCTTTCATCACTGGAGAAATTGACAGTGTGCCAAATGAATGGGGTGAAGGTAAGAGAACGTTTCCTTTTAGGTAAGAAAAACTTGTGTTGCACAGATTGTTATGCTGCAAAGTTAATAATAGACTTTCTCCTAATAGATGTAAAAGCTCTTGTGTTTGAATACACCTACAGTAAACAGCAGAAAAGCAGTTTGTAAAGATGCAAATCTGTATATGTAATCACCCATTCTTAATATCAGAACTGGACAAAAATTTATCAGGATTTTTAAAGGCATGCAAACTTATTTAGAAATACTAGACACGAACCTCATCTTATATAGCGTGATTTAGGTATAGCTTGAGGTGATATTTGGATAATCAGACTGATCTGAAACAGACCATATATTTTCTCTTCTTTTAGTATTATTATGAAATTATGTATTTCCTATCCTTATGGATAGTGAGAGACAAAATGGCTAGCTGCAATTTGGTAGATTTAGCATGCCCCCAGGATTCCTCTCTGTGAAATGAACACCACCTTCCAAATTGCCATACTTATTAAAATTAGACTGTCATTAAATTCTCACTAATTCCAACAAGAAAACCTATATTGGATCTTCCATTTCTTATAGCAGAAAAAATTGCTACACATTGATAAAATCCAGCGGGGAAATGCTTAATTTGTTTTTTATACTAATGAACAGGGCAAAGTATTCTCCTGAGGAAATCTAAGCCTGACGAACTTCTTTTCTGATTAAAAAAATCAGATGAGTAGCTCTCATGGAAAAAATGGTACTGTGCTCACGGTCAGTTGAAAGTAAAGAAAATACTGTTTGTGAAGCAAATGCAAGCTTTGATACAAGCTTTGGCTCACTCATTTAAAAAAAAAAAAAAAAAGGCTTTTAAATCTCTCTATTTACCAGAATTTGCAAAATCCGCATTTCATATCTGATTTCATAAAGGACTCATATTTCTTTGTATGAATTCAAATGTGATTATGATGCCTGCCAAGGACCTACTTCCTTCAGACCCAGCAACACAGATCTTATGTCCATTTCTCAGAGAGCTGTAGCACTAGTTTCCGTGATAGTCTGATCAGTTCGAGGACAGTTAGAGTTCCTAGAAGGAAAATAGAAGAGACCAAGAAAAGAACAGAACCAAACAGAAGAAAAATAGATATTTCATTTCCTTGTGGCTGAAAAGACCGAGAAAATAAAAGTCTGAGTGCTCTTCTGAGAGGGTAAATTTTTTTCTGTTCTGATTCATTAGTGATAACAAAAAAAAACTCTTCTGAAGCTCCAGCTATAGAGACGTTATTCCACTGTATGTTTTTTATTGCAGTCCTGTTATTTTGTTGAAAAAACTTCCCTGCAAATTTCTATGCTCAGCATCAGCATTTTTATCAGAAAATAACAAATTAATTTTCTGTAGAATGGAATGTCACCAGCTTTTATTGTTAGAAATAAATAACGGAACGGTGTTTTGCCAGCAGGAAAAAGTACCTTTTTAACTTTTTACAGAATAGAAAAAGTTGTATCTACGTAAGTGAATAATGCAGCAATTGTTTTATTTCTTTATTAGTTAACAGAGGTTCCAGAGGAGATATCTAAATTGATTTGCCTCCGAGAGCTTGACGTATCTCATAATGCATTAAAGGAAATTCCAGATGGCATAGGGAAACTGGAATATTTGGTCCATTTAATTGCAAATAATAATGAAATCAGTCAGCTCCCCACATCTATTACATCGCTAAGAAATCTACAGCAGCTTGACCTGAGTGGTAGGTATCAGGCATTCAATCCCTTAGTAAAATTTAAGCATTGAGGTATGCCCCTGACGAGTATAAATGTACCACAAGATAAGATGATGATGAAAAAAGAACTGAGGAAAATACAGCCTTCCAGTTTTTAATGTAGGCTGTTGTTATCTTTCGTGCCTTCTAAGCAAGCATCCTCTCTTAAATTTAATATTTTTAACAAAGCTGATTCAGAGAGACATCTGTGAAACCTTTAAGTGACATGATTTTTGCAAACATGATCATAGCCCTGCCAGCCAGTAAGCATCAGTCACTACAGACTTTATTGTTCAGGGTCCTATCAGTTACAGGACTGATATTTTTCTGCTGCAAAGAATGCATATCTTTTGTAGATTGCACTCATGCTATCTGCTCAGATGTCTGATTAATGCTGCTGGTATAATATAGTCTAGTGTCTTTTGTGTGTGGATGATTCACTTGGAATGTGAATTAACTGTTACAGATGCTAGGACATAAAGATAAGCTGCATGCAGAGCCCCATGCACCTGGTTATCTCAGGTATGGCCACACATAAATAAAGCTGCCATGCTCCGCGCTACGTTCCCATGTGTCTGCTCCCATCCAAGACATGTGTCTTGTTAGCTTGGTAAGCTGTGTGTTTGCTATTAGCTGAAGCTGATCCCTGAAAAGGATCCCTTCCTGCCTAGCTGCTCTGCTTTACAGACAGCTGGGCTGCTTTGGAAGTTTATTCAAATGTTTTCTGACTGATACTGTGTAAAATCCTTTGGGCCGAGGAGTACTTTTACCTACACTGCTACAAACCACTTTTACAGTTGTGAAGTCTCTTCATCCTATACTGCTCTAATTGTATTGCCCTTCTTTCATGTCCCTTCACTTACTTTCCTACCCCGTTATGCTGATGCACAGACTTCATCTTCTGAAATCTCTGCTTAACCGCTTTTCTGCTTCCTCCTTTGCTTTTATTTCCATCTGCCTCTGCCTTTGTTGCACTTTTTGTTGTCGCTGAACCCTTTCTAACTCTCCCTTAAACTACTTCTAAATACCTTTTATTTCTTGTGTACCATCTAATTTCCTTTTCTTCCTTCTGTCCTTCGTAAAGAATAATTTTGATGATGCCAACATTAACTTCTACAAGATTCTCTCTCAGCTTCACACGATAGTAAGCCATGAGGTCAGTGCCACAGACTATGAAATCAGTGGAAAGATTCCTGTTATCTTTATTGATCTTTCATTCAAATCCTGAAACAATAAATTGCTTGAGGCAAAAACTGACTTCCCTTCTTTATGCAGTGCTGAGCTCATTACAAAATTAAAAAAAAAATCCTCACTTCACTAGACGTGTCGCATGCTTCTTTGATTAATATGATGCAGATGTAATTAGGTATTTCTGTGTATTTTATCAGGAAATCGCCTGATATCTTTGCCTGCTGGTCTTCGTCATCTTCATTTGCTGACAGATATAAACTTTGATGGAAATGCTCTGTCTGAACCACTGCAAGAGGTGTGTAAAGGAAAGCAGCTACATCCCATTCTGTGCTATCTGGAAAGTGCTGATGAAAGAGATGGTATGTTAAGAACCAGTATATTATTACGTATTTTGGTGCATTAAAGGTAGCTACTAGGTAGCTAAAGGAGCTGTGGAAAATCCATGTTGTTAATTTTAAACGTCATTATCAGTACTGGTTCTATTTCTTTTCCTCGCTGATTTTGGTTAGTGTCAGCAGTACTTAAATTATGGTTATTAGTGTTCACGTACTTACTTTGCAGGCATCATACAGACTGAGGAATCAACAAGGATGTATATATTATTATTGTACAGGGGTTTGCATATAGAGACTTCAGATTAAAAAGCTGTAGTTCAGAGCTAAGATTATGTTGCTGCATTAGTACCTTTTACAAAAATGGAAGTTGACAGCCAAAAACTAAAATTGGGGTCTCAGGACTGTATTCATAACAGAAAACCAAACAGGCACAGATAAATGAAATGTACATATTTAAAGGTATCTAAATTCTGCTCATCCAGAGGTGTCATCTGCTCTGAGAACAGAACAGCATCTCACTCCTTTTTGACCTCCTCTACCTTTTTCAGCTCTTGAGAATGCAAAATCTAAGCATCCATCTATATCATGGCTTTTCTATGACCTGCCTATACAGTGTTATTAATTGTGAAGCACTGAAAGCATGTCAGATGATCTGCCTGTGCTGAATTCTATTATAACGTTACTGCCTCTCCTTGCCTCTGGCAACATCTGGGCAAAGTAAACTATGTTACCTAGCGCACACAAGCACAGGCCCACTGCCATCAAGGGAGGACTCCTGTTCTCACAGTACCCAAAACAACAAACAAAACCTTCTTTCTCTTCAATCTCGCCCCCCTAGCAAAATAAAAAAAAAGTTTTATTGTTTATTTTTGATTCCTCTTAGGCTTTCTCTTCCCATCCCAAATTTCTTTCTGCTAATCCCTACCCCTCATCTCCCAAAATAAAAGACCCTTTATTCCTCCCTTTCAGCACCTTTCTCCTCTCACCCCAAGAAGCTGAAGAGAAAACTACGCTTTGCTGTGCTCCTACAGCTCCTACAACCAAAAAGAGCACAAAACTTTTTTTCTTTTTTGGTATTTTCTTCACCCAAACATCCTGAATTCCCTAGTATTCTTGTATTAATAGATGATCTCATCTGAATGCTCTGTTAGCCTTATCCTAGCAAAACCCATTAATCCTAACAGTACTATGTCATTATCATTATCTGCACAGCTCAGAATGGCTTTTCACACCTGCTCTTTTCAGCTTAAGTTTCTAGTACTGCCTGCATCCCTGTGCCATCCTTCCCCTTCAGGCTGCCTAGCTATCCACTTTGCCAGAGACCTGGCAAAGTTACAAAAATAACTTAATACCTTTCTCAACACCAAAGTATAACTTTACTGGTTAAGATTTACCAAAACAGAAAATGTTGGCCCACATGGTCACTCCAATGTTTTTAATAAAGAACTCACGACTAACTAAAAACCAGACAATAGTCACCAGTCACAAATGATAAAAGAGAGAAAACAGAGACAAACCTACAAAGCAAGAGAAGACACAAGAGAATATACCAGTTAAAAAGCAACTAGAGAAATAACTGTAAGCGAGGTGGACGTGTTTCCACAGCCTGAAGACTGATGGCTCATGCAGGATGAAGACTATAGTAAGGGTTCTTGAAGAGGAGGCCCAGGCAAGTTGATGCTGAAGCACTGGAAGGAATTGTTTATATCTGCTTTCCAGCTTCCTTGTGCATCTCAGCTAGGAGGCACTGCCTATCTGCTGTTGTACTCCTGGGTCAGGCTTGCTCCACTCAGAGGCAGACCTGTGCCCTCAGTCATTCCAGATGCTGATTATGGATGTTGCGCGTTATTCTGGTATACCCTAAAAAAGACACTCCTTTGTTGCCTGCTGTTGCAGGGTTCTGGGGTGGCACAGTGAAAGCCTTCCATGCCTCTGTGCATGGAACCTGTGGAGGCATAGATAAAAAGCATGTAAGTTCTTGATAGTGTCTGGAGATAGAGACTACGCTGTACTTTTGCTGGTGCTTCTTCTCCCCAAACATCTACTTCCCTAGACCAAATCAGGAATGAGAACACTTGGAGTAGACCCATTCTTTGGAGATGACGTCCCAGGATCGTTACGTGGAGGTGGTGGTATATAGGCTACTGTAGGTGTCCCGAAGCCCAGGGGCCGTGATATCGTCTAGTGACCTCTGCATTGCTGCAGTCACCTGTAGCTGAGATTGTAGAAAGGGATCTTGCAAGCACAGGCAAAGGCAAAGTCAGACTTTCTATAACGTGTATGGGGAAGGAAGGTACAACAGTAATAGCACTTCCCTGCTAACGGGTTTGTAGCCATCTCTAGCGGGTAAGTTCATTGAGAACGTTTTGCTGCTTCATGTGCTAACCAAGGAGGTGGGTGTAACCTTGGAGATCAGCAATGAAGTGCCATTCCT